ATCAAAAGAGAGTACATATGAACAGAGTGAAAAGAAAAAGCATGGGATAGAAAATATTTGCAAATTGTATATTTGATAAGAGGTTAATATCCAAAATATATAAAAAACTTCTGCAACTCAACAAAATAAACAAAACCGATTTTAAAATAGGGCAAAAGGCTTTAATAGACATATTTCCAAAGATAATAAACAAATGGCCAGTAAGCACACGAAAAACTAATCATTAGGAAAATGCAAATCGAAACTACAGTGAAGCAGAGCATGAGAGTGCACACCTGTAATTCCAGCACTCTGGGAGGCTGAAGCAGGAAGCAGTGTGAGACCATGCTGGGCCCCGTAGCAAGACTACATCTTAAACAACAAACAGTGTATGAAATCAACACACAAAAGTCAACAGCATTCCTGGACACCAATAATGAATCCACCAAGAATGAAATCAGGAAAACAATCCCATTCACAACAGGTCCAAAAAAAATTAAATACCTAGAACTCAATCTAGACAAGGAAGTAAAAGATTTCTAAAATAAAACTTACAGAACTCTGAAGAAAGAAATTGAAGAGGACATTAGAAAAAGGGAAAGATATACTTTATTCTTAGATTAGAAAAATTAATACCATTAAATGGCAATATTACCCAAACAATCTAGATTTAATTCAATCCCTACCAAAATACCAACATTCAGGCTGGGGATTTAGCTCAGTGATTCCGCCACCGGCTTTGCAAGCACAAGGTCTCAAGTTTGATCCCTGGTATCCAAAAAAACAAAACAAAACAAAATACCAACATTCTTCACAGAACTAGAAAATATAATCCTAAAAGCCATATGGAATCAGGAAAAAAAATAGCCAAAGAAATCCTAAAGAAAAAGAGCAAAGCTGGAGGTATCACAATAATAGACTTCTAGTTAAACCACAAAGCGGTTGTAACAAAAGATAAAAAGACATGCAGACCAATGAGAATAGAAGAGAAGACAGAGAAACAGCCCCAGGGACCCATGTATCTATTGCCATCTGTAGCCATTTTTGACAAAGGAGGTAGAAATATATTTTAAAGAAAAGACAGCTTTTTTGACAAATGGTACTGGGAAAACTAGATATCACATGTAGAACATTGAAACTAGATCCCTAGCTCTCAGCTTATATTGAAATCAAATCAAAATGGATCAAAGATCTAGATATAAAAATAGAAACTTTGAAACGGCTACAAGACAACATAGGGAAAACATTTAAAGCCACAGGCACAGGCAGACTTCCTGAATAGGACTCTACTAGCCCAGGAAATAATAGCAAGGACCAATAAACAGGATTACATCACATTAAAAAGTTTCTGCCCAGCAAGTGTAACAATCAACAAGGTGAAGAGGCAGCTTGTAGAATGGGAGATTTTTGCTAGCTACTCTTCTAACAGAGGACTACTATGTAAGATACCTGAAGAACTCAAAAAATTAACCTCCAAAACCAAATGATCCCATTAATAATGAACTGTGCAAATGAACTGAATAGATACTTCTCAAAAGAAGTGAACATGGCCAACAAGTATATGAAAAAATGTTTAACATCTTTAGCTATTAGGGAAATGCAAATCAAAACAACTTTGAGATTCCATCTTACCCAAGTCAGAATGGATATCATCAAGAACACACAAAAAATAAAGGATGCTGGTGAGGGGGTGGGGGTGGGGAACCCTCCTAGACGGTGGGAATGCAAAGTAGTACAACTGTTACTGTGGGTGATGGGGTCGTGGATGAGTTTCTAGGTTCACAATCAACAAAGCATTGGACACGGCACTCGACAGAAAGGAAAAAGTGGCGGTTTAGTGAAGTTTAGGTGATGGTACACTCAGCATACGCTGACTCATGCCAGCAGAAGGGAAACTGGCATGCACACTGAATGTGTTGGGTTTAGGGATTTAAAATGTTATGTCGGCCGGGGATTTAGTTCAGTGGTTCCTTCGCTTGCCTCACAAGCACAAGGTCCCGAGTTCAATCCCCGGTACCAAAAAAATTAAATAAATAAATAAATAATAAAATGTTGCGCCAAGTCTAGAGCTCCTCCCATTGGGTCTTCCAGAATACGAATGACAGGGTGCTGGGTTGTGTCAATTGTATCTATGATGCATGTCTCTTTCCATAATTCACTATGTTAGAATTGTATATATGAGTTGCAGTCCATATGCATGAACCTTCAATGAGCTCCCAGTAAAGAAGGGTTTCTGTAGTAATACGGGAGGATGGTAGTAGGCCTGAGGACAAGGGGGAGGCTGGGGGTTGGGCCTGGGGCATTGTCCAGGTTCAAATAAATGGAGGGGACTTTTCCATCACTCCCAGTTATACTATCAATATTATTCCCCCTGAGAGACCTGTTCCTCCACAATCTTTGGAGGTGATCGAGGATGATTAGGGTGGAAGGTCCATCTTCTACTGCTGCGTCCTGCTGAATGGGGGCATTGGCCCTACCTTTGTGGAGACAATGCAACTCTCGCTTTGCCTAGGGGCGTAAGGGAGCCATACTCCTCCTCTGAGCATTCCTCAGTGAGCTTCAGATATGAAAGAGAGTTTTGGTCAGTGATGACGAAACTTTTAGAGACCGACTGTCCAAATTGCAACCTCAAACGCACTTATTTATGGCAAAGTCCCAACACTGCAATTAAACCTGAATACTGAGGTTTTAGTTTAGAAAAACAACTCATACATTAACATCCTTTTTCTTAAAAGAAAAACACAGTAACACGTATGCATAGGTTCAACAACACTGTCTCTGTCTAGATGGTGGCCACCCACCACTTGTGACTACAGAGCTACTAAAATGTGGTTACTTTGCTTTGAGATGTGCAGTAAGTGAAACACACTTCACCTGTCAAATACGTACTATTAAAAACACAATGAAGGGCAGAAGATTTAGCTCAGTGGTTCTGCCACCTGCCTCTCAAGTGCAAGGTTCCGAGTTCGATGCCTGGTACCAAAAAAATCCCAAAAAAACTCACAATGAAAAGAATCTCATGAATAATTTTATATCGATTATACGAAATGATAATATTTTGGATTTACTGTGTTACATAAAATATATTATTAAAATTACTTTCCCCTGTTTTTGAACCCAGGACCTCACACATGCTTGGCAATTGCTCTACCACTGAGCTGTGCCCCGAGCCTCTTTTCTTTCTTTCTTTTTTCTGCAGTACTGGGGATTGAACCCAGGTCCTTCACACTGAGCTACATCCGTTTATTTCTTTTTATTTTGAGACAGGCTCTCCCTAAATTGCTAAATTGCCCAGGCAAGGCTTGAACTTTTGATCCTCTTGCCTTAACCTCCCAGATTACGGGTATGGGATTACAGGCATGCATCACCACACCAGTTTCTTTCTTTGTTTTTTTCTGTACTCAGTTGCGGAACCACTGAGCTAAATCCCCAGCCCACACATCAGTTTCTTTCTATCTTTCATAAATGTGACTATTGGAAAAAGTTTAAAGTTACCTGTGTGACTCAAATCACTACAGGACACTGCTGTATTAGATAAAGGATAGGAACGTACCCTTTATAAACACTGTGTAAGAAGCAGAGAGTTGTAGATGTGAGCCCAGCTGAGGCCCTGGCAGTTCATCACCTGACTCTCAGGAGAATTCTCTTTAAGGAGTCCTCCTATCTTCTCTTCAAGACCCAAGCCAACTTTTGCCTGCAGTTTATCTTTACTTCATGACTTAAAGCCACTCTCCTTTCTCTGACCCTACAGAATTTTCTTAACCACTTATTTTGGCTCATAAATGTATTAAGTCCTAATTCCCCAACCAAACCAGCATAGGGAGTTTATTTTCTGATTTCTATGAGGAAAAACACAAGCATTCTATGCCTTCCATTAATCTCCACCCACAACAATCAGCAATCAATCAATGCACTACACCTACAATAGGCATTAAGAATCAGTCACAATGTATTTACCTCCAAGCCTACTGATTGTCCTATAATTTTTTTTTAACACAGTACTCTGGGCAGCCAGGATCCATGAATCAATATTGTTATGAGAGAAAAAAACCTGTTTGCTATGCCCTGTAACAAGGCACATAGTGAATAGGATAGAGTAAATTCACCAAAGAGGCGCAAGCTTAAATTTCTCCCTTTTAAACTAGGTGTGGTGGTGCACTCCTGTAATCCCAGCACTCTGGGAGGTTGAGGCAGAAGGATCACAAGTCTGAACCCAGACTAGGCAACATACTAAGACCCTGTCTCAAAAATAAAAAATAAAAGGGCTGGAGAGTTTGCTCAGAATGAAGTCCCTAGGTTCAATCCCTAATACCAAATAACGATGATGATGAGGAGGAGGAGGAGGATGATGATGTCTCTTTTTGCATCACAGGGTATATCACAATAAAATAATGCTGATAGATGGATTTTTATTAGTAATGTTCCAAGTACATTGTTGCTTCCTATCAGGTAAATGGGCAATCTTTGCATCCCTATCAGAGGCAAGGAATGTTGTAAAACATGTTGTTTGTCTCCTTTCTGATTTCTTAGTAGGTTCCATAGTTGTTTCTCCATGCAGGTGCAAAGCAAGGGGTGACACTGCCATATGCCTAGGCAGAATTGCCGAAAATGAGTTCCAAGGAATTCTAGCTCTGCGAGACTTTAATAAACACCCAATGAAAAAGTGGATTCTAATCGAATACGTGAGAAACACTGGGTTTATAAAAAGTTAAAATAATTTACTGTTACTCTGCACAACGGGGGAATCTAACATGGCTCCCAACTCTTTTGACATCAAGTCCCATTTTTGTATCTTATGGTGCTACATTCTAAGAAACATATAATGGGAAATACTATTTCAAAGATTAATGCTGCTGCTCTGTTTTTGAAAAGAGGGGAGTGATGCCAGGAATCCGATAGTCTTTCCTTTATTTTCCAATTTATTCCTTCAAGCTCAGGTACTTGTTCCCATCAGTTATCTGATGGTAGTGGGTGACAGATGGGCCATCATTATAGTCACTTAGAGCCAGAAGACAACTAACCTATGGCCTGTTCCAACAGCTTGAAGTTTGCTGATGAGGAAACTCAGGCTCAGGGAGATTAAGTGCCCTGCAGAAGGTCACCAAGCACATTGGTATCTAACAAATGGGAAAAGTGAAAAGAAAAGAAAAGAAAAGATAGTTAAAACATATAGAGGCCCAGAAACTGTCACCTCCATTATCTCCTGTTCCTTAGACTTCCCTTGTCTATCATTTGTTACCGGCAAGAGAAAATTACTTTTTCCAGGAAGGCCATGAATGCAGATATATTCTTTTCACCTAAACAGAAATAGAGGAGATTTATTGTAGCCCTGAGCAGTTGGGATTCTCAACCTTTCAGAGGAAAATGGGCAAAGTGAAAATTCACACTGCAGTTCTTTTTAGTAAGAAGGATATCATTCAAAGAATTTCCTTGTGAGGTTGGAGGGATAGTTCAGTAGTAGTCATTTGCCATAGCATGCATATATGCTCCTGGGTTTCGTCCCCAGCACTGTGAAAACAAAAGAAAATAAAACAAAACAAAAAACAAAGACCTCCCCTGGTTTAGTTCCTGGAATTCTGAGTGTGATTTTGCTCCGTCCCTTTTTCTTCCAGGGCTGGGCCTTGAACCCAGAGCCTGATGCATGCCAGGAAAGCAACTCTATCATTGAGCTACACCCCGGCCTCTGATTGTGCCTCTTCTGAGTTCATATTGTCCTCAACATGTGGCCATTATGACAAGTAAATAATGCTGATGGTTGAGGTTGGTCTCTCAACAGAGAGCCTTGAAGAATTTGACAACTTGGTCAACCTCTGCCTGGAACTTAAGCTCACATTCTGTCATAGAACCCGAGAGGCCCCATAACATGTATGCCCACGCCCCATGGTTTCTCCACTTGCGTAGCCCGGACAACTTCCTCTTTGGAAAATCTGATTGGCTAGCTAGGTTTTCTTAGCCTTGGCCATATTGGCATTTGGGGCCAGAGACTTCTCTGTCGTGAGAGGCTATCCTGGGCACTATAGGGTGTTTAGAAGCACCCTTGGACTCTTCTCACTTGATGTCAGTACCACTCCCAACTTGTAATAATCAAAAATATTTCCTTGGCTGGGGACTTAGCTCAGTGACGCCGTGCCTGTCTCGCGAGCACAAGGTCCTGAGTTTGATACCCAGTACCCACCCCCTCAAAAAAACCCAGATATTGACAAAAATGTTTCTATTAAAAACCAAAGTTCTATGGGCTGGGGATTTAGCTCAGTGGTTCCAGCACCTGCCTGGCAAGCACAAGGTCCCAAGTTCGATCCCTGGTACCAAAAAAAAAACAAACACCAAAGTTCTGCTGGGCATGGTGGCGCGTGTGGTAATTCCAGAACTTGGGAGGCTGAGGCAGGAAGATTGCAGTGAGCTCAGGCCAGCCTGAGCTACATAGTGAGTTCAAGGCCAGCCTGAACTAATAGTGAGACCCTGTCTCAAACAAACAGACAGACAGACAGAACTGGTGTTCTGGATTGACCTAATGAAGATGATTGCCACTTGAACCTAGATAGTGGTTTTTATGAGATAGTGAGGTTTTTCAGGGAAGAGACTAGGGAAACATATATTAATAATCTTTGAATCTCCCCTCTCTGGCACGTAGTAGATGTTTATTCACCAATTCATGCCACAAATACTTACTAAGCACCTAAGTTATAATGTGCCAGGCACTCTTGTAGTGTATCTATGGTGATGCAGCAGTGAACACAACAGAGTTTACATCGCAGAGATGTGAAGGCAGATGATAATACACATAAACATATGAAATAAACACATGGGGCAATCCCAGGTGCTAAGTGCTTTAAGGAAAAACACAGAAGCAGGTAATTGTGAAAGAGGGAGGCTCTCACCAGAGCAGTCTATCAGTTAGAATTAGTTGGTAACTTGCTCCAGAAGAACAAGATAAAAATTTTGTTTCTCTCTCAAGTAAAAAGAGGTAAGAAAAAGCCACTGTGACAGTACTGCTCCAGGCAGGTCTCAGCAAGCCAGGCTCTTTCTATTTTGCTGCTCTGCAGTGCATAGTCTCCATTTCCATAAGACCATAGTAACCAAAGGTTACTTTATGGTCTGAGGTGGTTGCTCCTGCTCCAGGCATCACACCACATTCCAGCCAGCAGAACAAATAAAAGGAAACAGATAAAAAGTATATACACCGATGGTCTTTTAAGGATAATTCCTGGAAATGGCCACCTTATATTTCTGCTTATATTATGTTAACCAGAATATAGACATGTGGCTATAACCAGTTAAAAGAGGCTGGGCGATTCAGGATTCTGCTAAAAATAGATTTCAATTCTATGGGGAAGGGGAGGAGAATATTGGGAGACAACAGGAAGTCTCTGCAGAAGATGGTCAAGGAAGGTCTTTCTGGGGCGGGGACAGTAGATGCGAGATGTAAATGATGAGAAGACAGATGTCCTAAGATGAACTCCTGGCCGGGCGCTCAGCAAGTGTAAGGGCCTGAGCTGCAGCAAGAGAGGCGAACTTGGTGTGCAGAGGTAATGCAGCCTGAAGGAAGGTGATCAGGCAGAGGTAAGATCACACAGAGCTTTACAGGGCATGATGACAAGCCTGGGTTTTACTCCACTTGCAGTGGAGAGCCTTAGGGGGCGTTGAGCAAGGAAGGTTCCCGTAGCTTTCAAAAGATCCTCCTGAAGATGCAGAGAGGAGAGAGCCCAGAGAGGAAGCTGTTGGAGTGGAGACAATGACAGCTGAACTTGACCTTAAACGGTGCAGATGGTGAGAAGTGACCACATGCTGCATACAAGGTCGGGGCAAGTGAAGTGCACAGGGTGGGACTGGGGTGTGCTAGGAACATGAAAAGATAAAGCAATTTCCCAGGTTTTGAGGTGAGCAACTGGCGTATGTCAGTACCAACTACGGGGACAGGAGAGGCCTGAGAAGAGGCAAATTTGGGTCACGAGCTCTATTTTGACCAAACTAAACCTGAGCTGTGCATGCGATGTCCGAATGGAGATGTCCGGCTGGAAGGCGGATGTATAACAATGTGGCCTCCAGAGGCAAATTCGAAGCCAAGCATGGTGGCGCAGGCCCTTAATACCAGCACTCTGGGAGGCTGAAGCAGGATAGCAAATTGGAGCCTAGCCTGGGCAATTCAGCAAGACTCTGTCTCAAAATAAACAATAAAGGGGGGGGGGGCTGGGGATGTAGCTTAGTGTGAAGGCCCTGGGCTCAATCCCCAAATACCGAAGAAAAAAAAAAAGAGGCAAATTTGAGAGTCATTAGCCAAAAGATGGTACTTTAAGGGTAAGTATGAAAGTGTGAAAATAATGCGAGAGATAACTGGCTCAAGGAAAAGGAAAGTTATACATTTTAAGTGCAATGAAACAAATTTCAAACACTAGAATCATCTTGGAGGTCCTTAACCATCCCGAGAAGCCCCCTTTAGAATCTTCAACTGTGAACTCCTGGTCTTGGTGTTCTAATTAACCCTGCCTTAGAGTCTCAAGAGCTATTCACAAGCACAAAGCCTTTTATTATCATTTGTTTAAAACCCAAAGAGAGCTGCTGCTTCTGCTGCATTTCTATCACATCAGTGCTATTTTCTGAGTTCTTTTTAAACTTGCGATTGTGCCATATCTAGGCCACTCTATAGTTTAAATAGGCATTTCCAGATTTGCCTTGGGGAAGTAACCAATGGATGCCATCTCCATGGGAAAACAAGCTCTGAGGTGTCCATTTTTGGAAAACATCCTCTACTTACAAGTTCAAAATTGCCACTACATGGTTTTCATCAGGTTCAACCCCTAACTCCAAGGAGCTTGTAATGTAACCATAAAAATAGTAACGCTGGATCGCATTTGTTGGGCACCGCTATGGTCTCAATCTGTTCCTCCCTCAAAGTTCATTTGTTGAAATTCTAATGCCCAGTGATGGTTTCCAAAGGTGGGGCTTTGAGGAGGTGACTAGATTGTACAGGTAGATCCCTCATGCGTGGGATTAATGCCCTTTATAAAAAAGGCCCCAGGGAGTGACCTTGCCCCTTCTACTGTGGGAAGGCCCAACAGGAAGGTGAGGTCGCTGAATTACACAGTAGGTGATCCCCAGACCTCAAGTCTGCCAGCACCTTGATCTTGGAGTTCCAAGCTTCCAGAACTGTGAGAAAAAATTTCCTGCTGTTCATGAGCCACGCAGTCTATTTTGTTATAACAGCCCGAGCACACTGAATCAAGTATGTCCTCTACTGTGTTCCAGGCAGTATGTTTCTCCAGAGGGACAGAGTTCTAATCTTCATGAAGCCTTGATGGGTAAGTACCGTACCCCACTTTACAGAAGAAGATACTGACCTCTGAATGGTCGTCTTGCTAAAGGAACTGGATCTGCCTTTCATTAGACTTCTCTGCAAGTCTAATCATCCACTCAGCCTTTTTATGTACTGTGGCATCTGTCTTTATTCTCTCACTTGCCCACCTAACTCTAGAAACTCCACCTCATTCTTTTTTCCATTAGCTACAATTTCCAGCTGAGAATGGATACTCAAATATTTATTGTCAGAATAAACTAGAGACATAGATATGACTACACAAAACACATAATGGATTCCTGAAAGGGGTGCTGTTGTATTCTAAAAGAGTCCTGGGATATTGAATCCAGCAGTCCTGACTGGTCTCAAGGGAGCTATCCCCTGTTCTGCAAGCGTAGCACAATCTGCAGAAGAAAGAAAGGGAGGAGGAGGAAGGGAGGGAGGAGAAAGGAGAGGAAGGGAAAGGAAAGGAAGAAAGGAAAGAGAGAAAGAAAGGAAGGAAGGAAGTTAGTTTCTACCCATTTTAAATTGGAAGAATGCTCCTGAAAAATACAGATATTTTTTTCTTTTTTGAGACAGTATCTTGCTATGCAGTCCAGGCCAGCCTTGAGCTTCCTATGTAGTCCAGTCTGGCCTTCAATTTGGGTTCCTTCTGGAGATACTCCCGCCCGTTTCCCGAGTGCTGGGACTATAGGTGTGCGCCACCATGCCTGGTTTTTTTGTTTCTTCTCTCGATATTTGCCAACGCTGGGGCCACATTCCCACAAACTAAAAAGAGTAGAGAGCCGAGCAGGGGCTGCCCTTGGTCCACAGAGGTTGCCACCTAAAGCACCTGTGGGCCTGAATTTTCACCCTCCAACTGTCATATTCCCTTATTTTAGATTTGAGGAACTGAGACCCAGCATAGCAAAGGGGCTTCTTTGAGGGACCCAGGTGTCCGCTTCCCCAGCGTTAGGCACTTTCTACACCCCACTGCCTAGGACACACAGACACCCTAAAACTCCACATCTGTCACAAGTACACATATGCAGGCTTAAACACTCCACAGAAGCCAGGTGTGGTGCGCACAGCCGCAACCCAAGCACTCTGGGAGGCTGAGGCAGGAGGATTTCAAATTCCACCCAGTCTGGTCAATTTAGTGACTTAGCAAGACCCTGTCTCAAAATAAAAATGGGAAATTGGGCCAAGGATTTAGCTTAGTGGTTTCATTGCCTGCTGCACAAGCGCAAGGACCCAAGTTCGATCCCTGGTACCAAAAAAAACAAAAACAAAATGGGGAATGTAGCTCAGTGTAAGAACACCCCCTCTCACACACACACACACACACACACACACACACACACTCCACAGAAATGTATCACTTTCACGGTAAGGAAAAAGACTAAATATATGGATTGGAGTAAAACAAAAGGATCTTGTCAGTTGAAAACTCCCAAAGCAATAAGGTTTTTTTGTTCTCGGTCACAGATCAACCCATTCCATTCTAGGGTACTTATTTAAGGAAGCACTAAGTTCAGAGTAGTATTTATTCCTTTTCTGAGTCAGCCTTGGTTTCACTTTCTAAACCACTCGATAGCGATCTGGTAAGATGTTGAGACATGAGTAAAAAGAAAAAAGTCAGAGAGTAGCGTGGAGGGAGTGAGAAATACTGTAGCTGCGGTGGTGACCCGGAAGAAGGCTCAGCAGGGCAGTAAGTAAGAACATGCTGGAGAGACGGTGTCCAGTGTTTCCTCCTGGCTCACTTCCTCTGCAGGGCCCTCTTGAGGTGCACAGTGAATTAAATTCCTCTCTCCATGGCCATACCTGTCTCCTGCTCCAGCAGGATCACCCATTGACGGTGCT